GTACAATTTTCAGGTAAGTCTTACTATCCTCCACCGTATCCCCAAGCCACTTCACCCCATGCAGGACTGAGCCACTTCAGTGGGGTATTTAACCCCTTAAGGACACATGACATGTGTGACATGTCATGATTCCCTTTTATTCCAGAAGTTTGGTCCTTAAGGGGTTAAAGGAAAACTCAAAGCACCATAACTGTATCCCTGAACAACTCTAAGGGGAAATCAGGATGTGAGGGGCCTTGTCAGTGAAGCAAGCTGCATGACTAGTAACACCCATAATGACAGGCTCCTTGACCAGCCCCCAGCCTTCAGGACAGGGTGTGCTACTGAAGTGCTCCCTGCAAGGTAGGGTGTTCACTTCACAGCACGAGTGCCTCCAATATCGCTGTGCTGTCTGGGTACAGTTCCCCTGTTATCTCCAGATGTGGGACAACAGGGAACTGAGTGGCATGGTGGGAAAGGACTCCAAAATCAGGACTGTCTTGCCAAAGGCAGGACAGTTGAGAGGCCTGCCGTGGCCACTAGAGCTTGTTATGATTAGGGTATCAGGAGTTGCTCCCCCATTTTTAAGTGGTTTGACTTCTTCACTGGATTCCGACGAATGCTGCTTCCTGCATCTACTACTAACACCAGAGAGACTGAAATTCCTACGCAGAAACTTACACTAGCTAACCTGCACTAAGTTCTTGGCTGAGAATGATGGACTGTGTATTGCAAGGCTTAGTAAGCGGGGACAATATATTCTCCCATTACTTTTTAGGGGAAATTACCTGTGACATAGTGAAGAGTGCAATGTTGTGGGGATTAACCTGGGTGGCCATTTTTCATATAACTGGACAATTTTCAGGAGACACAGTAGGGCAATCAAAGGTAGAAAATGCACATAAATATATTAAATCCTAGTATCATTTTATGTGATGATACCAAACAATTCTTTAAACATTTCTTATTCTTTGCTTCCTTGTTTTCTTTATACCCCGCAGTGCCTGTTATCATATTTTGTGCAGAAAATTTGTTTTATATGTTTTTAAGGATTTTTCAAGGGCTCAATCAGAAGAAGTGACTGCTGATGGCAGACCTGTCTGAGTGATTTACCGGCATGTGACAGCAGCAGGGTCATCGTCGCAGAGTTTATAAATGCTATTAGATCATGCAGCTTACTACACTTTGCATGTTCTCCCGCTGTGCATCGGCAGTCAAGCTTCAGTGTCAATTTGTAAAGGACAAGAATTAGCAAATGTAAAGTAAGGAAAATGCTACAGAAAGAATTTGCCTTGAAGGAATCTTGACCATAGTTGTGGAAGTGAATATGGTTTCATTTTAGTAGTTGCATAGCACAGAGTTCTGTACAGTCAATGTGCCTACAGATTAACTGGCAAGGCACAGGGCAATTGGGGGCACACCCAGAAAATGCATTTTGCAGGAATTGTGCTGCCGTAGTGACCAAAATTTATACAAACACAGATTAAGGAACAGCGCACACATAAAAATACAGCTTTACATTTTATAAGGTTACTTCAAATCACCTATCTCAGTAAACAAATATGGGGACAGTTCCACCATATGGCCATATTGTGTTAAGCCAACTACTATATATTGGGGTACTGTGAAGTAGTGGTGGGATTAACACAATATTGCCATATGGTAGAACTAAATCCCCATATGTGTTTGCTGAGATAATTGATTTTTAATTAGCCTTGTAAAATGTAAAAATATATTTTTATGTGTGCTCTGTTCCTTAATCTGTATTACATAATAAATGATACACTTTTTACACTTGAAGAAGCCCTTATACTGCCGAAACACATTGTGTTGTTTTACTCTTCTAATTTTTAGCATTAAAGCAGGGCCGGCGCTTCATATAGGCGACTTAGGAAGGGGCACCGCCAGGAGTGCCGACCCCTCATGCTGCAGCCGACTCAGCGCTCTATAGAGAGCCTTGGGCAGCCATGAGGGCGAACCGTCCTGGGGGTGCAAGATATGAGAGATCAGCAGGAGGGAAGCGCAAAGCGCTCCCTCCTGCCAGTCCCTCAGTGCATGGGTGCATGATGACCAGCAATTGCTTTTTGCATTTTTAACACACAAACAAATATAAATGCTAACTTTGGCTAGTGTTTGTGACTAAGTGGCTACTAAAAATATTTTAAATTTTTTTTATAGTAAATTATATGATATGATGAAAATAATGGTATAAAGACCATTTAATGGCGAGAAAAACAGTATATAATATGTGTGGGTACAGTAAATAAATAAGAGGAAAATTACAGCTAAACACAAACACCGCAGCAATGTTAAAACAGCCCTGGTCCCACAGTAAGAAAATTCAAAAGCGGTCTGGTCACTAAGGGGTTAAACTAATTTTGATTTATAAAAAAAAAAAAAGCCACTTAAAAGGTGTATTAAATCTTTTTGAACATAGGGGCTAAAATGTTATATATAATTTGTTATTAATTAGTGAATAAATTAATTAATTAAGCACAGGGTCCTCTTCAGCCAGTGTTTCCAAATATTAAAAGGGAAAACAATAAAAATGAATTTGTTTATCTCATTTATCTCATTACGTTTAAGTCTTCTAAGTTTTCTAAAACTATTTTGATTAGTTTGTTAATAAGAAAAATACTCTTTTTAAAGGATATGGAATCTTTTTGTTTTGCTTTACTTTTCAAATGCAAAAGAAAAACATAATTTTTTTTTCTTAATCAAGTCATTAGAAATCCATTTTTTTATATGATATTTTCTTTTTTAATTAATGGATCATATATACACGGACATTCATTGAACTGCACTCAATTTCAGATATTTGGAATTCTCTAGAGCAGGTTTAGACTATATTATTTCATCATAATTGATAAATAATTCCCTCGTTTGTTCATGGATTAGATTTCCAACTGATAAGTACCGGTAGTTACAAAATATCACTAATCATTAAAGTTCCCTCCCAATGCCCGGCTCTACATTACTGTTTAAAGAATTGATTTTTTTTATTTTTTTTTTATGGTTAGCCTTCATCCAGGCATGTCTGTTACAAATACTCGGGTAGAGGCACAGTAGTTTTTGATGTTCGCTGTCTCATACATCATATCCACAGATGTGATATCAAGCAAAACTTTTGTAAAATTGGAACATTTCGTTTGTAGCTGCATAGAGGCATTTAAACCCTTAAGGACCAAACTTCTGGAATAAAAGGGAATCAAGTCACGTGTCCTTAAGGGGTTAAGTATATTTAGCACTGAAACAAAAAGAAATTAGTGATATCATAAACCGAGTTTCTTCTGTGTTATAGACTTTCTTGCCAATACTTTGCAATTTGCAAACCAAACTCCAGTGAATACATTAATAAACATGTAAAGATCAATATACATTGAACAATATCACATTTTGTAACCAGTGTTTTATAATCAAACTAGGCCAGGGGTAGGTAACCTTTTAGCAGCACTGTGCCGATATAGGATTGTGATGTCTCATAGCGTGCCGGTCCTATTTTTTTTTTTAATTGAGGTGTGTATGCTGCCGTATTCTGCTTGTGTTATTTTTACTATAATTGCTTGGTATCGTTGTATTTGTGCATATATGAGCTATTATATTGTATATGTTCATGAGTAGTTTATGGTATTGTGTATGATACATATGAATGTGGGCTGTGTATGAGGGCTGCTTGTGGAATTGTGTGTGCATGGATATGTCACATTGTGTGTTTGGTAGTGTGTGGGGGCTGTTTGGGGTATTGCATGTGAGAGGCTGCATGTGGGGTTGTGTGCATGTATGTGGATTGTTAGTGATGTTGCGTTTGTGCATATTGTGTGTATGTTTGTGTGTGGGCTGTCTGTATTATTTGTATGTGGGGAGGGTTATTCTGCATTTCTGTGCATATCTAGCAGTGTGGGTGGCTTCCTTGGGTTCCAGTGGGGACCAGGCCTGCCAGGTACAGGTCAAGGACAGGAGCTGCAACAACAACTGAGAGCTGCTCTAATACTGTTTGGATTCTCATTCACAAGTGCTGGAATGAGGTGCTCTGAGATCACTTCCTCTACGTGCTGCAATGCATTAATTGAGGATTGTCCTTCACCACCTCTTCGTATTAGCAGATATCTAATGTTTTACTGGGACTCCTGATAGACCAGAGCCTGTTTGGCTCTAGCAGCCTTGAGTGCCGTGCAAAGGCACCTCGAGTGCCGTGCATGGCACTAGTGCCATAGGTTGCCTACCCCCGAACTAGGCAATAGAACAATGCTCTGTTATCCCTAGTTGAATGGCAGTGTTGTCACTATGTCTTTAGAAAGCAATATAACCAAAGCCATCTGCAGCAAAATTCTCAATGACAGAACATCAAAGACATTTCTATTTATTCAGTTCAAAATGTATATTAAAGGTCTTGCTTATAACAATGGTACACATAGAACTGAAACTTGCAGAGAACAAGCATATCTTACTTTGAGATACAAGATTGCCATGTGATCCGTTGTAATTCATTCCCAATACACAGTTATGACATTTCTTAGATATCATTCACCCAACAGATTTTATAGGGGTATTTTACAACAGCTTATTATTCTACAACAAAGTCGTTTGTGAAAGAATAAATTGTACCATTGTAATTTATCCAGTTTATTGGTTTCTGCTTGAGGACAAGCACAATTTCTGTTAAAATCACTGATGGTGCCATATTTGCTAAATATATATATCGTATAATATATATAATATATAAATATTTATATCATATAAGCATAACTTTATCTAGCAAACCAAGCAAATCTATTTTTTTTTTTTACCCGCACCCTATTTGCAGCTGTTTATATTTAGCTAGGAGATTTGTTTGAACCGAAATGCAATATGTCTGAATTTGGGTCGATTGGGTGTTCGGCCAAATTCATGAATTCTGAGCTGAAATATAACTGAACATTCCCTACCCGGCCACTGCCAGGAAGGCTGAACTTTATAGATTGCTAAACAGCAACATGAATAACACCAGGGCTGGCGAAGACTCCAGTGGTGCCCAGTCATCTGATCTCCAGGCCATCCTATTGTCGATATTGTCCTCATTGGGATGAATTACAGATAGGCTGGACCGTTTGGATGGTAGTGATAAGCCAGTGGCACCATCTGGATTAGTTGCTCCAGAACCTACTGGTCTCTCCGGCAACCTAACTGGTAAGTTCATTGGTCCACTTCAGAACCGAAACATTATTAATCCAGCACACATGGTACCTGCTGATATTAAGGAGGATATCTTGGATACCTTGGCCTTTGATATTTATAGGGATGTGGTGTTCTCGGTATATCCCGAGCGCAGAGAGGAATTCGATCTGTATTTGCACATGCTGGTGGATCTGGGGCATAAGTATGGAGGTATATCATTTTATGATTACCATCGATCATTCTCCGCGAATGCGTCTGCAGCTCTGTCTCAGTTCAATTTTCAGACGGACTAGAGCCAGATGGACACCAAGCTGTTTTGCAGGCACTTTGCAGGCCTCAGGTCCCCATCTTGTGGTATTTGTTCTTCATCCTCACATGCCACGAACCTATGTCCTAATACCCTGGAGCTAGGTGCTACCTTCCCTTTCCCGACCTCCTCTGCTAAACCTGAGAAGGTGATCAAGGACAAACTTGGGCGTAATATTGTTTTTCTGGGTAAATCCCAGATTTGTAATAACTTTAATGCAGGTTCCTGTGGATTTAGTGCTTGTCGGTTGTTGCATGTGTGTTCTCTTTGTTTTAGGGCACACGTCAAGACAATGTGTCCAAATAAACTGTTTCCCAAACCCTACACGGCTTCAATCAATGTGCCTTGTTTTGCCGAATTATTGCATAACCATCCCTCCCCTCACTTGGTGGAGTTTTTGTTAACTGGGTTCATGGAAGGATTCCATACGGGTATCATTTACATGCCATCTGTCATTGTAGAACGCAAGAACCTGCTGTCCGCCCTTGCCAATCCAGTAGCCGTCAATGCTCTGTTACAGATTGAATTAGATCAAGGTTTCCTACTTGGCCTGTTTAGTTCCCCACCTTTGTCAGCATCGAGAACTAACCCTTTAGGGGTAGTCTCTGGTAAAGGTTCAGCCAAGCAAAGGTTGATTGTTGACCTCTCTGCTTCCCACTCTTCCACAACCCCTAGTCTGAACACTCTCATTCCTTCAGGGGAATTCTCCCTTCAGTATGCCACCATACCTCAGGCTTTGCTGCTATTTTTGGTGATGATGGCTGTGGGGGGTTTGGCCTATGGAAGTGCACAATGTATCTGGTTTTTCTACCACTTCTGCTCTGTTCGAGCTCTATCCTATTGTAGTTGCTGCAGTGGCGTGGTGAGCAACATGGTTGGGTCAGGCGGTGAGATGTTTTTCAGACAACTTAGCCACTTTCCACATAATTAACAAGGGTCGTTATAAATCTCTGATCATCATGAGTTTTCTTAGGAAATTGTCTTGGCTGGCTGCTAACTATAATTTCTTTTTGGTATGCTCCCATATTCCTGGCTTTCAGAACATAGCGGCTGATCAACTAGAAAGTGTAACTCCTTCTCAGCCTATATCGACATATTAAAATATTCAAGAACTCTAACCTTGAAAAGATTTTTGGATATTAATAAATTCGTAGATACTAAAAAAAGTGAAACACATACACAATTGAAGAATAAATCAAGTTTTTATCCAAGGAATTATAGAACTAGCGCCGCAGATATGTTTGAAAAATCAGTCACTGAAGACTTTCAAAAATTAGACTCACAAAATAGGAGTAAAAAGTCCAAAAATAATCTAAATCCACAAGAAAAAAAAGCTTTACAAGAATTAAGGGAAAATAAAACAATTATTATTAAACCCGCTGATAAGGGGGGGAGCATTGTAATCCAAAACACACAAGATTATTTGGATGAATGCTATAGACAACTAAAGGATAAAAAGGTATACATTGAGTTAGAAAAAGATCCCACTCAAGACTTTTAGTCCAGTCTTTATGCACTTCTGGTTAGGGGTAGAGAAACAGAGGTATAGCTTTCTAAAAGTAGAATCTCCCAGGATACCTGTCTTTTATACCTTACCAAAGGTACATAAAAATAAAACACAACCTCCTGGTATACTTTTCTAAAGTATATTAATGCGAATAACTGGGGCATCCAACTAAGCAGTCAATTTAGTATGACTAATATTATTTTTTTATATTTGGATATTTATAGAGAAAATAATATTATTAAAACAAATAATTATTTTAAAAAGGTAGATGCCAATAGTTATGTCCTATATAATAGCGGCCATTATACACCTTGGTTGAACAACATTCCAAAGGGACAACTGCAGAGAATAAGGAGGAATTGCACAGAAAAAGAAATCTTTGAAGGTTGATATCATTTTAAATAAATTCTCAGAGAAGAAATATCCCAAACAATTATTAACAAAAGCACTGGAGGAGGTTAAGATGTCAGACCAGGAAAGCAATATCTTAGGGAATAAAAGTATGGGTTTAAACTCGGTACATTTGGTTTTTGATTTTAGTAATGATCATAAAAAATTAAACATATAATAAATAAACATTGGCACCTTTTGAAAAAGGGTAAAGAATGAACTAATATAATTCCAAACAAACCTGCTATTACGTTTAGAGGAGCCCCCAATCTAAAACGAATGCTAACTTTTAATCATCCCAAGGTAGAAATACCAAAAACTTTACTAAGTACTAATAAAGAAGGTTTTTACTCGTATGGGAAGTGCGTAGGCTGCAAATGTAGCAAAAATAGATTACTGAAGGGTATAAATAAATCCAAAACGAAATATAAACAAGATGATTTTTATATTAAAGATTTCATTAGTTGTTTTAGCCGAAATATTATCTTTTAATTTGCCCATGTGGGCTACAATATGTTGGTCGAACTATTCGCCCCCTTCACAAACGTATTTATGAACACGTTAACAATATTAAAAAAGGTTTTGAACAACATAGCGTGTCCGCACACTTTAAAAGATATTGCAATAAGGACCCAAGTGGACTAACCTTTTTAGGGATTCAAATTGTTAGAGGAGGAAATTATATTCTAGATATAGGGAAAGAAGAGATTTTTTTAACATTTTTGCAATATATTTATATAACTATTTTTCTCTTTTTTCTTTCCCTCTTTCTGAGTAGGTAATAAGTAAAGCGCTGTATTCTTATCTTTATTTTTATTTTTATTTTATTTTAATTTTTATGTATTTTATCTATTTATCCATCTGTAATAATTATATATATGTGTTTTTAGATATTTTAATATAAGTGTTTAATGCTTTTGGAATATTTTACAGATAGATATAATTTAAAGTTTAACCTATGTTCCTGGATAAAATTATGCTTAAATTTTATGAGATGCTCTTCTGATACTACAAGCTTTGAAATGATTTTTTGTGTCTGATTCAAAATGCACTTTAACTATGTATAATGTTTTTACCTAAGAAGGAGACATTTAGGTGATATGCTCCAAAAAGAATTATGCTGTTTTATTTAAATTTTGATTTTATTTAAATGATGTACTATGTGGCTGTGATATATACAGATTATGCAAGAATGTATGTGGAATTTTTTGATGCATACTTAAGAAAGAGACTTTTAGGCGATATGCCTTTTTAAGTTCCTTGTAAAAAGACTCATTAAGGACTTTCAAAGCCAATCAACACAAGTGCTGTTAATTATATGTTAATATAAATACATAGAGACTAGACCCAGAACGTGATCCGAAGAAGCCTTTCAGGCGAAACACGTCATCACGCTGTCAGACACACGACGCACGACGTCAGGATGCACGGAAGGAGCCCGCAACCTTGGGTAGCTCTGTGCCGCGTTCCAGTGCTCGAACATACCAGAGAAGTTCAACAAGGGTCTGAGGACTGGCCACACAAGGACGGAGCCTACGTGTTTTTTAATTGTATGCTGCTGCTAATAAAGGTTTGAAATACATCCAGCTGTCCTGCCTAGAGTATCGTGGGCCTGCATACAGATTTTTCTGGGCGAATATAGTGAGAGCAGACTTTTACTGCTCAACTCTTGTGAGTTGATTGGTTTACTTTTATTTTTTTTTTGCACAATTTTTACAGTTTTACACTATGTATATTTTTCTTTATTTTTATCTCCCTCATTTTACTACCTGAGTCATTTGGCACCTGAGTCATTCAGTATCTGGGAAGATATATACCCCTATGTAAAGTTTTAAATGTAAGTGCTTTGCATTTTGCACTTTATTGTATCACTTGGTCACTTTGTTAAAACAATATTCAGTGTATCATCATTCTACACTTTTGAATTGTGTACAAGTATATGCACATCACTGTATGCACATAGCACTTAAAGGCACAGCACACTTTTTATCTTTTTTGTTTGTTTGACAATACTAAGAAATCATACTGTGAAGAAATCCCCCTTTTGTTACACTATTTCTGCCCATTGCATTTGGTAGATGTAACTACCGAACAAAGACAACCCCTCTGGCTCGTTAAACATCAAAGACTGATTCAATTGCTACCTCTGTCTGTGCGGCCAGCGTTCGTAAAGCCGAATGCCACGTGGCAGAGAAAACTGCGGCCATCTTTGATCATGCGAACAAAGGCGGGACTTGGTCGTCGAGTGTCTGGAACTGAAAACGGACACTCGACTTCCCGAACACCAGTCTCAAACAGACAAACGCTGGAACTCTACTTACCGAATAGCTAGAAGAGCGCTATTCGGTACTTTGGTGCATTCGACAGAGGGGCAGGAACGCTGCTAGGAACCAGAGGGATCCATTCGGTACTTTGTTAGTTTTTTCTGCTATTTCTAAAGTGACTGGCAAAACCCACCAAACTCATGGAACTGTTTTGGGCATATAGCCCAGGGTGAGCCGGTCACAGAAGACCTCCATAGATTTTGCGAACCCCTGAACCGATCTGTGTGAAATTCGAATATGTTGGTCACCCAGATCAGGGCTATCAAGGGACATGTTATTTGTGGGGATACCCCAAGTATAAAGGGTGATCCAGTTATTGGGCAAAAAAGTGATTTTTCAGCCCGGAGATTATTAAGTTATTCTTTTATCAGACTTAATTATCTCCAGGGCTAGGGGAGGGAACTGTGGGTGTATGTTATGGTTTTACTGTATGTGATTGGTTAATGTTTGTCCCTCCCTGAGGGCTGTCCCCTTGCTGATGTTTGGGGATTCGTGTGTTTCACTAAGGGAATCATCTTGTGAAGCTATTGGGATTACTATATGGT